TGGTGACGGTGGTAGCGATTGCTTGAATCTAGACGATGTTTCCAGGCACGCGAGATATGTCTTAGTATTGTCCTGCCGCAGAAGTCGCTGGACGAGCACCTTACTGGGGAAAAATCTGCAAGGGTATCAGGCTCATTGAGGTGGGATGTGGAGTGGATGCGCACATGCGGTACATAATTTGCAGGGCCTGAAGAGGAAGGTCGCTGAACTCCGTGATGGAGGCAGTGGAGAGAATAGCCAACAACGTCGCCGCGGCACCGTCGACCTATCAACGATGTGCAGTGGCCGCGATTTGAGAGAGCTTTACACATCAGAAAGTGAGCTGGAAAACATGATGCATTGATCAACTAGCTAGAGTCAATCATGACATGCTTCGCAACATAGGTCGACCCTTCTTAGTATCATGTCCTGCCTCTCTCAGACAAAGATGGTGATATTACTGCAGGTGGTTGAACTTGATGGTATCCGACCAAGTGCGACCAAGGGACACCCTGCCGCTCTGTTGATGCAGATAGAGTGTGTGGCTGTCCGAGAATTGTCTTCTTTTGCTCCGCATAAGGTCGATACACTAGTGTTCCTTTCTCTTTGAGATATCGTGCTTTTTCATAGTCAACAGTGTCTCATCCCCCTTTTGTTCTTCTCTTGTAACCCCTTCCTGCACGAAGCTGCTAGGATCAGAGGAAGACAACGCGTCAGATCCTTGTTGCCCACTCGCCTGTTGATTCTCAAACCGACATGTCGATCTTTGCTGACTCTCCCCAATCATTCGCATCTTCCACGAGATGTATTCTTCCGGCCTCTCCTTCTCTAGATACTCGCCCCATGCAGTAAACTCTTCGTTGGAAAGTGATCGAAGGATCTCAGGCGGGGGAGGACCGCTGTGTTTCAATTCGTCTTTGACACTTTTCGACGGCTGGTGAGCACTATCTTGGACTGACTGGAGATTGCCAAGTTCTCCTGTGACAAGGCTTTGGCTGTCTTTGAAAGGGGGCATGGTGGCGAAGCTGAGTTTTGGTACCGAGAGATCGCTGGTTGGCGCGTGTAATCAAGTAAGTTCGAGCATGTTATTCGATCCCAGGAATGCTCGCGCAGTCTCAGGCTTTCCAGAGGGGTGATACTTGTATGGTTCCTGGGGCAAATTACTTACACAAGGTGTGAATGGCGCAAAACAGTTCAGTTGAGTGAAGGGCACGACAAATGGACCGCATTGCGCACTGTCGGGAAACACGATCAGGTTGTTCTCCAGGAGGTTTCCAAATGGTGTAAAGCATTGTGACTGCTTTGATCGTGAACGGCGCCTTCCCCACGTCAAAGCTGCACTTGGTCCTGCAGTAACATAGCTGGCCGTGGGAAAGGCGCAGCAGGTCTGTCGTTAAGAAAAGTAGAAAGTGCTGGCCAGGACGGTCACAATGCAGCCGCGCAATCAGATAGAATCGTGTCGTCGGTATCAGGCTTGCCCTCTCCATTATACAAGGCTCGCCCATCCTGAGTTAGAAGTGGGTCAAGGGAAACCCTGGATATGATGTCCGTTCTGCCACATGCCATGGGCTGTTGGGGATAATGAACGAAGCATGTGTGGCGCATAGAAAGATGCGAGTAGGAGGTTAGGCGCCATGCTGTGGTGGTGCGAATCACCTGAATATTATGTTGGGTCAGCTTCACATGCCCCAATTCACTCACATGCTCTCTGTCCATTCTTCAACATACATAACATTCCCACCAAAATAAGTGAGAGTGCGCAGTGACAGGGACAACCAGCCCAAGTACATGGTACATACATGTGCACAAAAAAAGCCCCGAGCCCTGCATGTGGAGAGGGGGCCGGACGCCAAGCGACTGGACCACCTCGCATGTCATGATTTTGGGCTGCAATAATGGCATGTGCTGTTTTCTTCACTCACTTTCGATTCCCACCTGACGATCGCATTGCCTCCGTCTTCTGTCCTCCGTCGGGCCAAATAATGCCATCCACAGCCGCAGCCTAGGAAGCCTTGCACCTTGGTCCACTTCTCGTTTATCAAACCTTGCCCGCACAGGTACCGGTACCGGTACCTCACCTGAGTCGCCTGGTGTTGGTTCCGCCACGCACAACATGACCAGATGACCACCCACTTATTTGTCACTCGAGCTCTTCATTGCCATGTTATACCTGTGCTGTCCTCGCGTTTCTAGCCTCTGACACTCCAGCGGCGCTTTTGCGATCACTCCGAGGGCTCTGTACAACCTATTTAAACGCAACGGAAAATGGAAAAGTTCTCCCAATTCCGGGACAAAGGTGATTATCCTTTGGGAACACAGAATATCGATGGATCAACGTGCTGATCTGCCTTGTGCCATAGGTTCCGGCATCGCTCCATTCCTTCCTATCCCTACCGAGCCTGCTGGATTCGCATTACCCTTCCACATATTCCTCTTCATCTGTCGTGTGCCTCTACTTCTAGTCTTCGCGCTCTCATACTTTCTCGTTTTACAATGGATGCCCATTGGTATCCTCGGTAGAAAAGCTTCTCTCTGGTGCATATTGGGTATACCGGGAATATGGTGGATAGATCTACAAATCGACGGGGTGAAGAAAGGGTATGGCTGTGCAATTGTCGCTGGGGCACGTGCTGACATGGTCCAGGTCTCTTGCGCAGAACAAAACAAGAATTCCCCAAGAAGGCTCGGTGATTGCTTCATCAAGCGCTTCGCCGATCGATCCATTGTATCTGGCGGCTATTTTCGACCCCGTCTTCGCCGCCACGTACCCTTACACGAGGCTGGTGGAACCTATATCTCTGTTCACAGCCATCCTCCGGACGTTCTGTCACCCGAAGCTGACGCCACCACCTGGCGCAAATCTTATGGATATTGAGAAAGTGCTGAGACAAAACCCAGGTCGTGTTGTGGTGGTATTTCCGGAATGCACCACGACCAACGGTAGAGGCATCTTGCCCATGAGTCCAAGTCTTTTGGCAACCCCGCCACGGGCAAAAGTGTTTCCTGTCTCCCTCAGATATAGTCCTGCGGATGTCACAACACCCATCCCACACGCTTACCTGACCTTCCTCTGGAACCTCTGCAGCAAACCGTCCCATTGTCTCCGAATTCGCATTGCCGAGGCTGTATATAATAGTAAAAAGTCCTCGGATTCAGATTTTAGCATCCCAGCAAAGGTGTCGCCTTCATACACAGCAAACTATTTCGACTCGTTGGTTTCGTCAGACGGTGGAGCCAGCAGCGATGCAGATACACTCGTTGGTAGTGGCCTCGAAGACCAAGAACTTTCCATGACCAAGGAGGAAAGAGCATTTTTGGACAAAATTGCGGAGGCGTTGGCGAGGCTGGGGCGTGTCAAGAGAGTGGGACTGGGAGTCAGGGAGAAAGTTGAATTTATCGCCATGTGGACGAGGTCTCGGAAGCGGTGACAGGGACAAATGATCGAGTCGTGGTGGTTGATGACTCTTTCACCAGCAGCATCCATTGGGACCATGAGGTATCAATATTACCTTTCCTTCCAGAACGAACTGTTCGCTCAGATGACCTCAGCTCTTCTCGAGGGAAACTTTGAGATCATTGGGAACAGCTCCTTCTGACCACTTTCGATCTTATGCCTCGACCTCCTTTCTATCCTGGCAAATAGGTTGATAGAAATGCAGACTCATTGTGCTTTCACAAGCATAAGAGACGGTCAGGGTTGACATCCTCCCTGGCTTGTCATCACTTTTGACTAACAACAATGAGAGACATCTATACGCGATAGCTATTGGTGTATAGTTCCTACACATCAGCTAGTGTCATTCCGAACACAGCTGCATTCCAAACCCACAATTAATATTGAGAATGGAAACACACAGCTCCCATGCGGTGACAATCGCAATGCCATTGACGCAGCTGACTACCCACGCCTAAGCAACGACGGCACTTCGGAAGTCGAACTCCCCAACAGGCAGAGAACAATTGAAGTCCTTTGGACCAATTCAACGCCGTCGTCTGGCACCATGAGAGCTTCTACTCCTTGCTCTGGTCTGGGTCAACGTCAAACAGGAAGTCGAAGACACGTCGTTGGCAGCAATGTGTTCGTCCTCCGCACAACATGTCAATGACGTTGGGTGGCACTCTGTACCTATTATTAACGCCGTTCCATCCCCTATTCAGGGCAGGGCATCTGAGCCAGAGCCAGAACCAGAGCCAGATATCAGACTGCCTCCATTGGCGTTGTTTGTTACTCATAGCGTCCTCCGAGAAAGGCTCAACCAACCAGCCAGCCAGCCAGCCAGCCAGTCAGTTGGTTTATGGGCGGGCAAGGAACAGGCAAGCAAGCAGGGAAGAATACATACCTAGGTATGTACCGAGCACTGGTCAAGCATGGTGAACACGGCCCGCCCCTTGTTAGTCATGGCGGATGTAGTTTTTACTCGGCCCCCATGAACTATTCCGTCAACCTGGTCGACCTGCTTCCTGTTCAGATCGACAGTGGCTGCAATACGCAACGGTAGCGCCTTTACGACCGCAGACGAAGGCAGGGCGGGTCCCGATGAGGCCGACATCCAGCTGGAATGGAGCAGATGAGATGTCTTCATACAAGTACAGATTGACCACTACATGCTGACGTTGTGTCGTCCCTCTTGCTTCACCTGTGTTCCTTCGAGGTATGAATCCGTAGACACTAAACTGAATGGCACAATCGCTGCTCGCCACCCACCCACCTTCTCACGCCTCTCGTGAAAAGGTCATTTCCCATATTCCAGCCCTACCGTAGAGCGAATTGCCGGCCACTTGTCAACGCCTGCCTGCCTACCTGTTGTTCCGATTTTTCGGGTTTCTTCCCCCCAGAGAACCACATAGTCCGGGTCCCGCCCTTGCTTTTTGAGAGCAACTCCGTGCAAAGAGAGCCAAGTACCAATAAACAAACAGAAAGGATCGTGAGCAACAATAATTCTGGCCATCGCTCCAGTAGACCAGGACACCATGCTCCAAGCCTAACCCGGGCATGGTCGACGCCTTTGAGAGTGGCGGTACTATCTCCACCGTCTCCCATGGCTTTCCCTTTCACCCTCGACAAGTCCCCTTTCCAGGTCATCTTCGTACTTGTATGTGACTCTCCTTCCACTTGTCCCACCACCGCCAGAGGATGAAGCCTGTTTGGCGGCTTTCTCGCGTCGCTGTTGTTCTTTGAGCATACGTTCACGATTCCGTGCTTCGCGCTCGAGGGTGTGAGGGTCTTTCTCTTCGGGGTGAGCTGACCCTGACCCTGACATTGACTGTGCGGGTGCTGGAGTTACTGTGCCACTGGAGCGATGAGATTGTGACCGTCCATTGACCATCGAGGTGTCCAAGCCGTTAGAGTCCTCAACATCACGACGATGATCTTTCTTGTGACGCCGTGACCGATGTCGCGACTCAGGCTCTTCAGTAATAACCTCGTCCTGCTGTTGGTCATAGTCGTAGTCGTATTCCTGATGTCTGTCTACGTCTTCGCGGTGACGATCGTGTCGAGAGCGCTTCCGATCCCGGTCCCGATCCCTATGTTTGTCGTCTCGATGCTCTCGCTCCCGGTCTTTGGTCCGTGTCTTCTCCCGATCTCTATCACGGTCGCGGTCGCGGTCATGGTCTCGCTCACGATCCCTATCGCGGTCTCGATTTCGATCCCGATCGCGGTCCCGATCTCGATCTCTGCCGTCGTGACGAGAGGACTTGCTACTCCGGTGTCTGCTCTTGCTTTCAGCCTCATACCCATCTCGAGTTGACCTTGTCGATTCCGCGTAGTCGTCCATTTCGTGGTCCTCATCAACGTCCTCGTCGTGACGTCGCCGTGATGACCGGGATGAATGCTGCTTGGAAGCTCTCTCCTTATCGCCCCGACTGCGTCTCGAAGATGACTTATAATCCCCCGAATCCGATTCGGCGTAGGATGCTTCCCGCTCGTTCCGATCATAATCATCATAGGTGCCGCGCCTTGACGATTTCCTGGAGGGCTTGTCAGAGTCGCGGTAATCGGACTCGTCTTGCTCGTCCCCTTCATATCTCAAGTTGGAGTGTTTGTCCTGTACGGATTGTCGTCGAGACCTGTCCCTGTCTTTATCAGGGGTCTTACTACGAGTTCTCTCGACATCTCGAGACTCTGAACGCTGTGACGCCGACATAGATGCTCTTCCCATGATTTGAAACCCGGCTGCTGCAGGTCGCGAAGGCGGTCTGCCGGGCACAGCTGCTTCACGCATCGCTCTAGGACCGGTTGGTGCCCCGATGACGCCCACGCCTTTGGGTTCCATGGGTGAAGCAATTTGCGGGAATGGCTTTACTGTTGGAGCAATATGCCCGTTTGGCATCGAAATCGAGCCACGCCCGCGAGAGGAGAATCTACCATGTCCTCGAGAGCGAAAGCCATGATCACCGTATTGAGCCGAGGGACCAAGCGGTGCCGACGGTGGTGGCATCGGGCCTTGTAGATCTTCATTGTATGCTTCAGGTATCGGCTTTTCTGCAGGCGTCGTTTGCATAGTCTCAGAAACCGGTGGTTGGGCCTTCTCCCCGTCGTCCTGTCCATTAATCCCGTTCACCTTATCAGCTTCCAAAGACTCATCCATAGGTTGAGATTCTAATGCTGTCGCCACCTCATCACCTCCACTAGCCGCAGAAGCTTCGGAAGTAGCGGTTGTAGTGACAGTCTTTTCGACGGTGATGGGCTTCTGGTAGTCTTCCCCAAGGGCCTCTTGGACTTCTTCCTGACCGCCAGGGGCGAAGTCATCGTCTTCGTGACCGTCATCAACCGGATCGTGGTTGTTGTCCATGTGTTCTTCTTCGGCCGCCGCGACTTCGGCGGATGCCGTCTGCATCGTATGAGACTGCACATTGCGGCTATCGAATTGCTTCTGGTTCTGGTATCCCTGTTGGTGGTATTGCGAGAATTGATTGAAGTTACCGCGGCCTCTCACAAAGCCGCCACGGCCACGACCACGACCTCTGCCATAGCCGCGGCCATAGTAGCCATTTTGAAAATCACCAGAGGTATAGGGCTGTTGAAAGTTGCCAGACGGGCCCATATTGAAACCATAGTTGGAACCGAAGTCATTGCCCATGCCATTCGAGAATGCATTTGCATTATTATTCTGCCACATATTGTTGTTCTGGCCTTCCCAGCCATACATTCCTTGGTTGGCATTGTAGTTCATAGCCATGTTCATGCCATTCATCCCATTCATGTTCATGCCTCCGTTTGGACCGCCAAATCCGCCAAACATGCCTGCTGACATTGGATTCATTCCCATAGGCATTCCTGTAGAGCAAAGTCAGAAAATGTTGCTAATTGTGGAGCAGTAGCAAGCTCACCCATCATTGGATTGAAGCCCATCCCGTTTGCCGACATCATTTGCATCATCTGATTGTAATCCATATTGCCGAACCCATTCATCATGTTTGAAAAGTCCATGCTATTGAAACCCTCAGTATTACTTTGGCTCACGTCTTGTGAGTTCGGTTTGTTCTCGAAGGAATTGGTAGGCTGAGGAGTGTCTTCAGTACTCTTCACGCGGGTCGGAAGTGGCTGCAGGTTCTCGTCCTCTGCTTCTACCTGGATGTCGATATCGTCGTCATTATCGGCGGGTTCAGGTTCAGGTTCCTAATGTGAAGATTAGGAAAAAAGTTGTCATCAAACAGATGGTAGAGCAGGCAATTACCTCAATTGACGGGTGGACATTTCCAGCAAGGGTGTCTTCACTTTCTGCCACATCCTCTTGTCGCCGCTCCTCCGACACCTCTGCTATTACTCCATCTGTTTGGCTGCCGCCATTCACGACGGGTTTGCCGGCGTCTGGTGGGTGGACAACCTCATCTTGTCCGACAGATTTGGCCCGCTCATCCACCCTCGTCTTCTCTTGTGCCTTGAGATAAACCTTGATGGTCTTTTGCATGGCTTTACTCGGCTTGCAAATGTCATCGGTAAAGGGCCGATGTTCGCACTTGGGACAACTGGAGCCGCGAGTAGTGCTGAAGCCTGTCTAGTGTCAGTCACTCGCCAAGAGGAACAGTTGACACAGTCACTAACATGGTTCGCAGATTCCGACATCGCAGCAAGAGGTTTTGTATGGATTGAGGTTGAAGTTGTGGCAGCGCGTGCATTTCAATTTCTCTGGCACTTTGTCCAAATCCAGGGAACTGAAGAGGTTAGCGCAGGAAAGGCCAAAGGCGTGCGATCTCCAAACATACTTGAGGACATTGGTCAATGATGTATCTAACGCAACAGCGGCCATATTGAACAGAGGTCAAGGGACAGTCTGGCTGTTCCTGATTGTGAGGGAGTGAACCAGGCCTGCGATTTGGACGAAGGAATGGAAAGATCAAACGCCATTAGATGACAACAGGCAGGGGCGTCGCCGGCCTTGTGTGACACGATCACTAGACTATAAATGACAAAAATTTACAATCATATCAGAATAAAAAGGTTGGACATGTCAAGGACGGGATGGTAGCGATGGGAAAGGAAGTTTTCAGTTGGTAGTTTTGCGCAGCCGGGGTTGCCAGGCTGAGAGCCACCAAAGCCTGAACCAGCCTGGGCGAAAGGCTCTCAAAGGCGAAAAAAGGACCGTCGGGGCTGCAGGAGCCTCTCTGCCTCTCCACCTTACGCTAGGACCGATATAGCTTAGTGTAGCATCCGATCTCTATGCTATGCTCACCAGGGCTGAATCGCCCCTCAGAAAATGTACCTGTAAGAAAATGGCTAAATGGGCAGATCTCAATTCCGCCAGTCCGATACTTGGCTTCAACGTTAGCATTAGTAGACGTGACGCTTACACTTTGGATTTGTACCTTTGGATAGACTCTACCCATACCAGTATCTCCTGGTCTGCACCTCTCTCTATTTTGTTTCATTTGATCGCCTTTGAACACATGGGATGCGATGCATACTTGACGGTCAATCCATATCTGAGCAATATACAAATAGCCCAAGATGATCCTGGGACCAATCAATGGGATTGATTGCGTCGCTTTTGTCATTTTCTTAATCCCACAACTACTCTACCAAGTAGACATCAAAGAGCTACTTGGTGTGATACTCAGAGTAATCCCATTTTTGAGTAGGGAAACCGCATGGATCTTTGTGCGGATGGCCACAGTATACTAACCACTCGGGACAGTTCTTAAACTTCCCTATCAGCTGCTACATGAACGGTATTATATAAAAAGACACCTTCGATCGCCCTTCACACAGCATGCCACGCTCTTCCAGGACGTGGTCATTCGCTGCGTTCGATATGCGTTCGCAAAGATCCCTGCCAGTATAGGGAGAGTCTTCTTTTCCAAATGGGTCGCATATCCATTCTTCCGATTCCGCCTGTTGCGACACGGGCTTCTGCACTGTCCCATGTTTTATGGGGAAGTCATCAGACATGGTGCTAGAGGTCTCTGGATAGTTGACGATCCGGACTGCGACCCTGACATCATAATATACTATGCTCATGGTTAGTTAACGAACGTCATTTGCCTGGAGAGAGGGTGTTAGCTGATGCTTGTGTTTAGGTGGGGGGTTCTCCATGGGTTCGGCATATTTCTATCTCGAATTTCTCATGGCTTGGACAACTCGATTGAAAGAAAGTGGGTTCAAGAATCCAGCGGTTTTTGCATTGGAATATACTCTTGTCCCGGACGCGCAGTGGCCAATTCAGTTTAATGAAACCCGTGCAGGATATGATTTTCTTCGGGATAGGTTCGGGCATGGGTCGGCAGCAAAGATCTGTGTGAGCGGTGATTCAGCAGGTGCAAGTCTTATCCTGAGCATGCTTCTCCAGCCAGGTCATCTCGAACAAGATACTCAGCTCCAGTCACGGTATCGACCAGGTTTAGCTGTACTGATCTCGCCTTGGACCCATCTAGTGTCGAACCTGAACCAGAATACACCCAGTGACTACCTGGATCGCAACAGCTTACATCTGTACGCAACACAATATGCAGGGGAGGCGACGATGACGGACAGTGTCATCTCTCCGGGTCTCTGTACGGGGCGCTGGAAACAAGCCTCGCCACTGAACGGGTTTCGCATCGTATACGGCGCAGAAGAGGTCTTTGCTCCCGGCATTCAAGCGATGGCTGATTGCATTAAGAAAAATGGCGCCACAGTTAAGGTCCACGAGCGAGAGGCAGGCATTCACGCCTGGCCTGTGGTGAACTTGTTCCTCGGAAGCACACGAGATGAACGGCTGCAGGGACTTGACATCATGACTGATTTCATCCTGTCCTCCAGCCTTGCATCGGGTTTGCATTAGAATTGTGCGCTAATGGCCTGCTCACATCTTCATAGAATCCACTCACGCCATCAGATTAGATCAAGTTTGGAAAGGTCTTTCATTGATGACAGTTGGACTAGCAAAACGACGACCACAGCCATGTGAGCCGGGTTGTTGTTCTGCAATCTTGTCTTCAACTGCTATCTCCAGATCGCTCTATCATCATTTGACAGTCAATGATTCACGAAGTTGCAGGCACCAAGCGGATATTTTTCCAAGGTCATTCTTCTTCCTATTGGCGTTACTGTCGCAAAAGCGAAAGCACGTGTCGGGGACACGCGTCTGAAAATTGATCCCCGTGTCATAATCTCAAAAGTGACTGGGAAAAAAAGTGGATTGGTTATTCTCAAGGCCTTGGCTTTCGTATCGCCATCGCCGGGGTCCGGCTAAAATCTATAGGAGGATGACATGGGACATGCAGAAATTGTTCTGGGGGACGCAGGGGCCAGCAGGGTCTTTCAATGGGAGAAATGGACGAAGGAGACCGTAAAGTTTGCAAAGCGCAGAGGTGGGATTGTGGATTCGCAAAAAAAATAAGGCAGGGCGTCACAGTTGGAGTTGGCTCGATTGATTGGACCGTGGCCTTTAGCGTGTTTCTGGGCCTGTTGATCTGATCATCGGATGGCTGAGACGCCCACAAAAGCCCTGACCTCAGCTTTTATAAGGCCCCTCTGACCCCTCAGCTGCACGTCTCTGAACTACATGACTCGGTCTTGCTCAGGAGTCAAGACACAGAAATCCCAGCCTATCCGGATTTACGTTATTCCGTCTTCCTCTTAGCACGTGACTCTGGTTGCCCACCTCGCCGCCTCAAACTCCCTCCTTGTCGTCATTCTCCCTAGGCTGCTAGGTGGTGACTTGGTAACTCTGTTACCATTTGTGTGTACCTCGTACCGCACCCGGGTACCATTGTACCACTTCACGCTCCTACCAACCTCTCTCCTCTGGCTTGACGGCTTGAACTGGTTCTTCCCTTCACATATTCCCTCCCGATCACTTTCCATCACCAACAACAATCATGGTCGGCCCAGTCTGAACCAACAAAGGACGCTGTTGTCTATTCAAAATGACTAGTTGCCCATCGCACACGCTCCACTTCACCGTCACCAATACTAGTACTGCACCAAATCTTACCCCCCGGGATTCCTGCACCACCATCCAGCTGCACCCTTCATTCGCCGAGCAATGAATGAAGAACACGACAACCCGAACTCCGAGTCATCATACCGTCCTTCCAGTCCAGATTTATCAGGCTTCACTTTTGCAAACGCCCCACTGCCCAGACTAACCCGAATTCCAAGCTACCACGCACCAGACTCCAATTTCCCTTCGGGTCATTCGTTCACTCCTCGAGGTAGCTACGACGCCTCGCCGTTTTTCTCCCCTTCGACAGCGACATCCACCGCTCCTTCGGCGTCGTATTTTGGCTCTCGCCCTCAATCACAAAGCGCCCAAGTCAATTTTCCCCCTCAGACTTTTCGCACTCCGAGCTTTCCAGGACAGACTCCTACCCAATATCTTTCAGAGGGTTCGTTTCAACAACATTTCGCTCAACCATATAGTAGTCCGCCAGTGACTCACTACTCTCAGTCTGCGTTTGGTCCCCATTTGGGTACAGGCCAGAGCCAGCCACCGCAGCCATCCCTGCCCGTATATCCTTACGCAGACATGCCTCCTCGCACGCGGCAACAGAAAGCCGCTGAGGCACTGGAACAAGACTACGGTCTCAACGCCGCAACGAGAAATGTCATCCAACCTAAGGTAGAGCAACCCCAATCTGTACAACCGGTCATGCCTATCGCCACGGCAGACCCTTCTTTTGGGATCGATGTGAGAACGAAATTTCCTGTTGCACGAATCAAGCGCATCATGCAAGCAGACGAAGATGTAGGCAAGGTTGCTCAAGCAACTCCCACGGCAGTTTGTGAGTTCTGGAATATTACCTCCACTGCCCCCTTCATTACTCTAACTCTTACATAGCCAAAGCGTTGGAGCTTTTCATGATCACTTTAGTCTCTAAGGGTGCGGCAGAGGCAAGAGCAAACAGCTCAAAACGAGTCACGGCACAGCATCTCAAGGCCGCACTGATGAAGGATGGGCAGTTCGACTTTTTGAACGACATTTGTGAGGCTATCCCTGATGAAGGCTCCAAGAAAGGCAGGGCCAAGTCGGAGGCCAAGAGTGAAGATAGTGAAGAAGATATCAGACCCAAAGGCAAAGGGAAAGGGGGGAAGAAGAGGAAAGCGGAAACTGACGATGAAAGTGACTGATATGAAATCATTCGCTCGATGAGCTATGAAGAGTTTTGTATGATCATGAAGACGACCTTGACAATCTGAGCGTTATACTGGCTGGAGCGACAGCCATGGAGGGAAAGACTGCTTCGGTCAGATGGGGAATCCGACCGCCCAAACATAACGACCACATATGGATGAACCCGTCGAATAATAGTTCCCCGCATCGATCACACAAACGCATCATCCTTGATGGTCCATCATGGTCCTTCCTCTCCATCACCTCCGTCATAACCACCTGCACTGCGATGTCTTCGGCTCGGAGACGGGGTGTTATTCCGCCACGGCCACGGCGCTTGAGTCACCAGCGCCACAAGGATGATAACTCCAATAAGGCTGGTAAATCCCAAGGCAATCCACCCGACAACAGCGGTATACGCAACCACCACAAGGCATAGCAGCGCAAAAGCCCCGATGATGAGACCGCCCATCAGCGCCGCTGCAATTATGGCGTATCTCTGAACGCTCCGTTGCGATGTCTTCCCATTCAGCCCATCCCAGTCTGCAATCCAGTGGTCTTTGAAGAAGGTCAAGATAGTGGAGCCAAGTGAAGCAATTGCCAACGCAAGAAGGAACAAGAGCCAACTAATGGCCAGGAATCCTTGTATCTGGTCCACGTTGAAGACTGGCCGTCTTGTTCGAGGGGTGGAGGTGTTGTTGGACAAGACATAGGAGAAGGTGATACTCGCGCCCAGGGTCGATATGCCAATGATCGTGGTGAAGACACCATTATAGAATGTTGTGACTGATGAACCAGGGTGTTTGGTAATGGGTCGAATGTGTGAGAGAGAATGGCCGTGCTCAGAGTAGATCCCGGTATGCGTTTTTGTTGGGTTGATGACACCGACGGAAGGTAAGGGACCCGGGTTGTATACATCCTCCAGGCCTTCGTCTTTGGAGGCTGCCCGCTCCTGTGCTCGAGCTTCGGGTGTTTTAGAGGACATGGGGGCCACACCTGGTGCATTTAGATTTGAGGGACCCTCCATAGTGAGGATAGAAGTGTCCCCAGCTTCTGATGTATGAGTAGATCGGAGTCGGAAAAGGGTTCACACCAGACTCACTCAATACTGGCAAATGGTACTGTCTAATTCAGCAAAATCTGTAGCAGAGAGAGAGAAAGCAAGAACAGCAGCAGAAGAAGATCCTTTATCTAGTTGTTCAGAGGTTTGCCAGGGAAGCTGCGTCTGGCCTCAACAGCGGAAGTTGTGACCAGACATCGGGCTAGCACCGTACATAGTCTCAACGGCTCCTCCGACAACTACTGATTCAAGTCCTCTTCATCTGGATTCTCCTTTCGACATAATCATCCGACCATACCTCTTACCCCTATGAACGTTCCAAAATGAGGCAAAGGGCATGGATATCGTGAGTTGCTTACCCAAGATGCATGCTGTGCAAGGACTGAAGAGTCTAACGTCAAGATGGCTGGCTAGCTCACTCGCCTGATTGCCGGTACTGGTTCATACCAGACAAAACAAAGGACAAATACACCAGCAGAGCGCCTTGCATCTTGCAAGAGCATCTGCAATGCCTTGACTGTGAGTGCGCTTCCCTTCCTGCGAACTTTGTCTCATTGACGCGGTGAAGCACACCTGGCGCAGCGGAAGCCTCGAGCGCGAAGATGAAGCCGCCCTGACATACACTGTCAAACTCCTTCAACGCCTCGAAGGCATTCTCCACGACGAGTCGCGCAGAGCCGCGCCGCACTCCTGCCTGCGCTATGTTGCCTCGAGCCAGACCTACATTATAATCACCAAGCTCGCCGTGTCCTCTGCCAACCCCGATATCATCAAGTCCTCTGCTCAACTCTTCCACATCCTCATTAATGGCGAAGCCGAAGGACTGCTTGACAGCAAATTGTTCACAAGGTCTCTGTTAGATTTGGTATGCTTTGCTACAATAGGAGGGAAGATCATTGTCGAGGAACGTCTAGAAACAGACCTGGTGGAATTGCTGTTCGAGATTGCTACCAAGATCCGGCTCGACCCAGACATCCTTCCTGCTTGGTTCTATCCAGGTCGAGAAACAACACGCGGGCGCAACGCTGCAGACGACTCTAGGAGAAGTCAATTTCCTCTGTTCCATGTGCTAGTGCAATACGTTCACCACGATGGCCCGGTGGGTGACTTTGCTCGCACGGCGTTGTTATACTTGACGGAAACCGCCTCCAGATCCAAGCCGTTGGAAACATGGATGATCGAGAGTGACCTGGCACCTCAGATGGCTAGTGGGTTGGGTGCCCTATACAGCAGGCTCAGCAGACAATCAACTTCACTTAGTGGCCAAGCCTCCGCGCCTGCTATTGTCTCTCTTTCGGATCGTTCAGAAACGCTTGCTTCGCTCACAACAGTACCACAAGTCTTTCAGCAAGATATCAAAGCCTTCTTCACTTATCTGGCGTTCTGGCAGGATACACTGAACCACTGCAAGTCGGCAGAAGTCAGTGATACTTTGCTGGACCATTTTCAGATACTCTTTGTCCAACAACTCCTTTATCCTTCGCTCTTGGAGTCATCCGATGTTGAAGGTGGCTCTACCGCCGCGGTCATAACCCATCTGTCCCGGATTCTGATTGCTCTTGACCACGAACAGCTCGTGGATCGCATCCTGCGCTACCTTTTGGCGTCACCAAGCATGCCCCGCGGCCCCGCGGAGAGAAGCCATCGAAGACAGAGGATGTCTGTTAGCCGACGGAAGTCCATCGATCATTTAAAGGCCCTTGCAGAGGTCGCCGACAGCCCTTCCCCGAATCTTTTCGATCTTCTCGACTTGATGGTAATGAGCCTCAGATCTCGTCATTCAGAAACCGTCAATGCTTGTCTGAAGCTATTATCAGTGATCATTGCGAATCACCATTGTCATGTCCTCACGAATCTTTTCAAACTTGAGCCAACAACTGCGTCTCCAGCTCAACGTGGAGTAGAGCATCTGAACAGCTCCTTGCTCAAATTGTTTGACTACGCTGCTGCGATAGCCAAAAACCCCGAGATGGATGAGTCATATCAAGCAGCATTGCTGGACGAGCAGATTCTACTGGAGCAGCACAGTTGCCTCCGCATGAACCGAGCGGATGTGGACCAAATAGACGAACGAGACATGTCCATTGCCCAAGAGTGCAAGCTCTTTGAAGCTCTCCTCACATTGCTGCGAAGTTTTTTTGCAAATGACACTGTCACGAATCTTTATCTGACTGAGGCTGTCATGGCCTTGGCTGCTTGTGAGCATATGAATCTGCAAGGGTGGCTTCTGCGGCCAGGGAACGAGACCGACAGTCAAGACTGTTCCTCGAGCAACATTACTTTCATCATTGGTGAACTTATAGAGCAAGTTCGTCAATGGCGCTCACAATTTCCCGAATGGGACGAGCTTGTCCTTCGAAGGAGAATGGAACTGTCAGAGGATGACACGCTCACCAATCCTCAAAACCCGGTGAACTCGTCATGGCGGACGAAAGAGACTGGTTCGGACCTCAGAAGCACCTCGCCTTCTGTTGGGAAATCTCAGTCACCACCAGCAACTCCAAGAGGGCGAAAGGTAACGACAAGAGATTTTGGGTCCATCGACGGTGCTTTATCGAGGCCTGAAACACATCGGAGCAGCTTAACTGAGCGCACTCTCGGCCATTCTCCCCTGAGGCAATCAACACCGGCTCAACTCGGGGAAAGCGAGGGGTCAACACAGCAGCCAGCTTCTTTGGTGCCACCGCCATCGATCCCCCTTTTAAAAACACAAGTTACTCTGTTTAATTTTCGGGCGCCCGAAGAGGCTTCAGAATCACTCCCTGTACACGCAGGCCGCAAACAAACTTCAAGTCCTCCTGGTGATCAACGTCGCGCTTTGTTGGATGCCAGTGGTGAATCTGGAGCTGCAACTCCGAGCGGCACAGATGACTGGTCATTGAGCCCAAGGAATCACGTCAGTCTCAGCCATGTACTGACCAACGCTATCATCCTTCAGGAGTTTGTTCTCGAGATTGCAGCAATTGTGCAGCTGCGGGCTACGTTCTTTGGCGAGGTCGAGTTTACGGCGAAAAGCTCGGATTAGTGGTTGTGAAAAAGACCAGAGCAAGGTCCGGCGGAAATGCAGGTGTTGAGTTCCATGTTTATCAGTTTAAAGATACCCTTCCACAACGTCGTATGCTGCTTTCGGGCTATTGCAGAGTAGGTCATCAAACGTCAAATCCCGTTTACTAGAGCTTCTCCTTCTATGTTGCCTAGCATCTTTTTCTCGTACTCGTCCAACATTTGTAAAAAATGGTTCCTCCGCCAACTCGAGATCCAACTAATCATGAATGCATTTTTCTGCAGCTGGATCAACTCCTTCTTTGTTATATCGGTCCCCTCGGCCATTTTCAGCATATTCTCATTCACGTAACCGCGGAAATAGGCTGGGTCGTCGCTGTTGATGGTGACTTTGACGCCCTGCCGCAGGAGGCCAAGGATTTCCCGGCCCTTGAAGTCGGCCGTGACCACGGAGTTTGAGATTGGACAGCAAGTCAGTCCGATGCCGCGAGTCTTGATGGTGTCGACCAGTTCCGGGGAGTCAATGATATTGGTGCCATGATCGATTCTGTCCACTTGGATCTCGTTGACGGCCTGACCGATGTGCGTCAGGGTGTTGGGCTGGTCAATGTCGCAGTGCATGGTGAGCAGATAGCCCTCCCGGGAGGCGCGCTGGAAAACGGACGCGAACTTGCTGGGAGGGTTTTCGCGCTCGTCGCTGTCCAGGCCGACGCCGATGATGCTGTCCTTGAACGGGAGCGACTCCATCAGAGTCGACATGGCATACTCGGCACTGTGGTCGCGGAGGAAGCACATGATCAGACTCGCTGAGATGCCTAGCGTTCGCTGCGCCGTGACGATGCCGTGGCGGTAACCGCGCACCACGGTCGGGAAGGGCACTCCCCGCGACGTGTGTGCTTGCGGGTCGAAGAACAGCTCGACGTGCTTCACGTTCTGGGCGTGTGCGGTGCGTAG